ATGCCGAAGGGATCAGAACATCTGAGGTACAAGGTGAGGCTGAGAGAGCTGAGTCTCTTCTGTCTGGAGAAAAGAAGGCTCAGGGTGATCTTGTCCACTTGTACAAACACCAGATGGGAGGGAGTAAAGAAGCTGGACCCAAGGTCTTTTCATTGATATTCAGTGGCAGGACAAGAGGTCATGGGCACAAACTGAACTACATGAAATTCCATCTGAATGTAAGAAAGCACTTACTGTGAGGGTGGTCAAACACTGGAACGGGTTGCCCAGGGAGGTTGTGGAATCTCCATCCTCCAAGATATCCAAAACCCAATTGGACACAGCTCTAAGAAACCTGCTTTACCTGACCCTGCTTTGAGCAGAGGGTTGGACTAGAAAATATGTCAGTCCCTTCCCACTTTGGTCATTCTGTGGTTTGGTGACTTTAAATGTTAGCAACACATAGGCTGATCATATCATGGAAGTGTCCAAAATAGTCCAAGTTCTCTGGGGTATATGGTGTTAGCCAAATTCTGCTCCAAACTTCATTGGTATGGTTCCTCTTGACTTCTAGGGAAACTGTGTATACTAGCTGCTCTATTTCTGCAAATAATGAGGAGAAATATATGGCAAAAAAAAAAAAAAAGAGATTAGATTTCCAAATTCAACTGCCTTTCTAATATGTGTGTGGAGCTGACTGTACTTTTATTGATTAGTACAGTAGAAAAGTTGGTGTTGCTTTCTGTTTTGTAGTAGCTAGCTACTGAATGTCTCTGTTTTCTGCTGTTCCCCACAGTATTTGCGCAGAGCATTATTTGAATGAAAGTTCAGAAGGCTTAAAGTGTGGTTGTGGTGGTTCAAGGTGGTAGAGATGTCCCTGAAGCAGTGGTAGGAGCTTTGCTGAGAACTGTGGCATGTTGTAAAAGCTTGATAGCTTGGAAACAATCATGATAGTGGTGTGGTGAATGTGGAGTGATTAAAAGGTATTCTTATTTAGAGAGAAACCATAAGGCTGTTCTGAAATGAATTTTAAATAGTTTATGGGAGTTCCTTCATATCAGTTGAACTGCTCGACAGGCTTCGTTTTAAAAGTAACTGTCATAGATTATTGTTGCTTATAAGTAACAATTCTGAACTAACAGAATTTTCTAAACAGCACCAGATACTAATAATGATAATAAAAGAAAATAATTACCAGACTTCAGAGTGTCTCTGTTTGAAAGAGTGGAACTAATTAGAAGTTTGATTGCTTGGTTTGTAAATCTGTAACCCCTTACTGCCACCATTTTGAATTACTGGCCTATAACCACATATTTATTTACAAGGAACTGATCACAATAATGTCTCTTTTGACAGTTCCAAGGCTATCTATCTGGGTTTTTTTGTATTACAAGTGTCAGCCCTTGGATATGAAAAGTGATGTTGGGCTACATTACTTTGATCTGCATACTTCCTAATGTTGTTACAGAAAAGTGGTACTGTGTTATAGTTGCATCTCCTATTTACATATAGAAACAGCCGTGAAGTTAAAATAAGCTATAAACTAATTTCTATGACAACCAAAACCATGGTCAAAATATGGCTTTTCTAGCATGGCCTACATCTGTGGTACAGAAGTTTTCACCACGTATTGCAAGAGAGCATTTTTGTATTTTCCCTTTGAAAACCTACAGATCAGCATTTTTCTTGTTGTTAGTGGCAGATTTTTTCAGACAAGAGGCATCTTTCAACACTAGCGGGTCAGGTATGATGGAAAAAGACAACAACTGCAGGAAGAAACTACCAGACAATTCCCATGCTTTTTAACTGAAGGCTCAGCAGCAGGCCAGCTGGTCTGAACATAAATTCTGTTCAGAGTGTAACACAGACACAGGAGAGCTGCGTATATGGGTAGTAGAAACCCAACTTTCTGCTATTCTCCTGTCCTAGTTAATTTTCCTGACAACCTGCCACTGTCCAGAGACCTGATAGAGCTTACAGTGACAGAAAGTGACTAGAAACAATTCTGTACTGACCCAGAAAATACTGAGGGAGTGCAGAAGGAGACCAATTGGACTGTTCCTACAGAACAGCAACTTTCCTGAGTGATTTCATCCTGAGGTGTAATGTTTTCATTGAACCAGAGTTTGGTTCAATGTAGGGAAAAAAGGCATCTGCAAATAATTTATCGGCTCCACCAGTTCTTTCTCTTAATGTCTTGCTACTAAAATTTTTCAATTTCTTCACACTGCACATTAGTTTTAGCTAATTATAAACAAAATGTCAACAGGATTGCTTCTCTCCTCCCCATAAAGCCAGGAAAAATTACTTCTTCCAGTCTACTGGACTTTCTGCCTGTTCACAGGCTCCTACTGGTCTCACAGAACTGTTGTTATCATCATCTAGCTGAAAGTTTAATGAAAATGGAGTGACTCTGGAAAGAAGGTGGGGACGGTTTTAGAATTGAACTTCTGCATAGGCAGGGAAAGAACAGAAGAGTTAGCATAGGGAGCCTGAGGACATCATGGAATCTGATTGTGAAGATACTCTGAGCTTCATGAGGCCCTCAGCTGCCTGCTCTGAGCAGATGATTTTATTTGGTGACCCCCTGAGCTCTATCTCAACCTGAATTATCCTACGAGTCTAAAAGTAGAGAGACAAGATGAAACAGGAATACAATAGAGGAAGAAGGTAGTCACAGAGCTAATTAGAACTTTTAATACGTCCCACATCCCCCAAGTTATTTTGGCTTGTAATTAGATGTGGGCCTAATCCCATGCTACCCAAAAATTTGGAAGAAATCACTGCCTTTGTGTGCAGTTCTCCTCTTAATAATGTTAATCTGTATTAATGGAGGCCTAGCTCTGATTTCTCTTTCTGAATGGACATCCCACAGTGAAGCTGTAAGGGTTGCTCGCATCATCTGTAAATGACTAAGGACACATGGGGAAATTCTGGAGAACAGGTGAAAAAATAGGGAAAGGTTAAGCTATAGAGTAATTCCAACTTGTTTCTTTCCTATATTAATCAATACCTAGGCATTACACTGTGTAACGTGGGACTAAATCTCTGTGTAGTGCAGGCGTCTCCTGCTGAAGTGCATGTTTCTCAGTCTTTCCGTGTGGAACTATACCACTTTTTATATAAACCACTTAAATGTGCGGAAGTAGCATGCAAACAAGTGGGTGTGACTCCCCAGTTTGGTGGTTTAGACACTTAGCTGGGACCAAACCCAGCTGGGTTCCTGCCCTGGTGAATTATTAGTATGAATTAATAAATATAAATTCAACAAAGCTGTTGAAACAAGATCAACAAGAGAATCTAAAATCTACTCCAGATATGCTGTAGTTTGTTGTCAAAATATTGTTCTTCCATAATGTATGAGTTCAAACACCCTCAGGTAAAGAAAAAAAATGAGGCCTAAGGCTGCCACATCCTTCTGCACATCCTAACTGCTTAGCTCTTGGCTAAAAGGCAGGTGGCCAAGCCCTTGGCAAACCTCTGGTTTCAGTTCTGCTTCTTCTGCAGGTGCTTCACAGGTATCATTGTTTCAAGTGGATAACAAGTCAATCACTTTTTTTTCTCATTCAAATTTAAAAAAAAGGTATTTGCTGGTATTTGAATTTCATTGAAGAATTGGTTACACTACTTTGTAAGGGAACGTTTCTCTCACAGCATAGGTGAAGAAGAAATTTGAAAAACCAGCTTCCTTGCATTTGAGGGACTGGAGGATGAATGGATTTACACGGCAAAATAAACCCCCGGGTTTAAGAAGGGAAAACGGTCACGGCGGGGAGACTGCAGCGGACTGTCAGTCGAGGGGGAGAAACCGGAACCCGTGGGAGGAGGAAACGAAGCGAAATTTAAACAAGCCGAAATAATTCAAGGAGCACGGCGGTGCCCACCGAGCGGGTGCCGCTCGCCCGCCGCACGCAACCTGCCCGCAGCGCCCAGACCCTCGCTTCGCCTCCCCAGCCGCTGGCGGAGCACCGCGGCAGCCGGCGGTGCCGCCTCCGAGCCCGGCCCGGCCCGGCCCGGCCCCGCTCCGCTCCCCACAGGGCCCGGGGCCGCCGCCGTCCCCAACGGTCCCCGCGCGCGCCCGGCCTCTGACCCGCGGCGGGCCGCCCCTGATTAGCCCGCTCCCGCCGGTGGAGGGGGGCGCGACGCCGGCGGGGAGCCAATCAGGAGCCGGGGCTGCCCGGCTCTGCCCGCCCCCGGCCGGCGAGGCGGGCGCTGGCGCTGTGGGGGCTGCCGGGGCGCCGGGGGCGGCGCGGCGGGCACCGGGCGCGGGCAGAGCTGCGGGCACCAGCGACGCCGGTGTCGCCGCCGCCGCTACCACCAGCGGGGCGGATCCGCGCTTCTGCCGGAGCTTCTTCCGTCGCTTTACTTTCGCGGCCCGGAGCGGGGACATTATGCCGAAGAGAAAGGTACGGGCGCCCTAGGCGTGCGGCGGGTCCTGCCTCCGCGCCTCCCCCTTCCCCCCCACCCGGGCAGGGATGGGGGGGACCGGGCGCTGGACGGCGCCTTTAGGAGTCGGTGGGGGGGAAGGGGGGGTGTGTGCCCGCCGCTCTCCCGCCGCCGTGCCGTGCCGGAGCTGGCGGATTGCTCCCCGAGCCCGCTGCCTGTTGCAAGCCCCCTCCGCCCCTCCCTGTTTACTTTCCCGGTGCCGGGCGGGGCGGTGTCGCCCCCGTCCCTGGAGGAGGAAGAGGAGGGGGGGGGAGGAGGAGGAGGAGGAGGAGGAGGGGGGGTGGGTGTGTGTTAAGTCGCTATCACAACTCCAGCCCCCCGCCGCCCTCCTCCTCCTCCTCCTTCTCCCTCCACCGCCGGGGAGAAGCGCTGCAGCAGCTGCGGCTTCGCCCCTGGCCCCCGAGGCGGGAGGAGTTTCCTGCTTGCAAACTCCGGCGCCTCCGCGAGGGGAGCGGCGGGGAGCGGCGGGGAGGGGAGGGGGGGGCAGCCCCCACCCGCGGGGCGACCGGATTCCACCCCCACCCCACCCCGCGCCGCCGCCGCCAACCTCCCGCCGAGCCCGGGTGATGGCTCCGAGGTATAAAGGAGGAGGGGAGAGGCAAGCCATGTTTAAAACAAACTACACCCTTCTCCTCGCCTCCCGCGGCAGACCCGTATGTACCCACTCGGGCGCCCATCCGGGCAGGGCCCCCGGGACACACACACACGGTTGCGAGACCGCGTTCCCGAAGGGAGAGAAACTTAAGCGGCGTTATGTGTGTGGGGGGGGTGGGAAGGAATTTTTTTTTTTTTTTTCCTACCCTTCTGTTCTCCGCTTGAAGCCGGAGCCTTCGCTGTGCGGCGTCCTGGCCGCGGGGAGGGCTAGCGGTGCTGGCGGAAGGCAGGCTGACTTTGGGGGGGGGGTGTCCGGCCCCCTCCCCTGCGGGGGACGGGTGGGGGGGGGGGCGACCGAGGGAGGAGGTGCGGGAGACCCCCAGTCGAGAGCTGGGTGCCTGCCTTCTGCCGGCACGGACCGAGCGTGACGGGAGACTTGACGCTAATAACTGCGCTGTGACTAAAAAAAAAAAAAAAAAAAAAAAAAAAATTAAAAAAAAAAAATAGCTGCAGTCCTCTAATTTTAACTAGGTCAATCAAGGCAAGGCACCCTGTGTTTTGGGGGATTTCCCAAATGTCACCTGTGACCTCCTAGTACACCGTATCTGGGCTGGGGCTCAAATCTGTTTTAATAAAGTTACAGGTAGGTGATGGCTTCCGGGTGGCTTGGCGTTCAGTTCTTGTCCTCTCCTTATGGGAGGTATCAAAATGTTAAGTTGTCAGGTATGCTGCCGAATTATTTAATTCATACTTAACAACCTGATTCCAGTTCTGAAAATGGATACAGCCATGAGGTTGATTGCCTTTATTTCGATAACTGAGCTTGAAGTTATTGAATATTGGGCAGTTCTTCCTCTTCTGTCTTTGCACCCTCATGCAGGCCTCACGTGCTTCTGCTCTTTTAGTGCCGTTGCTTGTCATCAGGGAAAAGTTGAAAATTAGCCTGTACCCATAGGACTCTCCACAACTTCTGAAACCTTGCAAACTTCCTACCCTGTTTCCTTTGCACTTTGTGTTCTTACACTACAGATGATGTTTCAGGCCATCCTTCCTAAGAAGGGGGTAGGGTTAAAGTCACTCTTCTAGGTTTTTGTAGACTATTTATTAAGAGAAACTATCTTTGAGTAGTAAGTCCACGAGAACATACCTTCTTTCTAGAAGGTTATAAAGAAGTAATAAAAACATTGCATATGGGAACAGAGCAACGGAGACGAATTTTAATGGCACAGTACCTTTTAATTTACTTATCATTGTATGGGTTACAATCATTTACATTTTAAGATTATATATGAAGTATGGTTTTTGGGAAGCACTGGTTCCAGAAAAAGCGTGTGATTAATGGCTTTTCTTTTTGAGAAAAGTGGAATTGCTGTAGTATTCTACAATAGTCAATTTTATTCCAGAATAACATCCACAGAGCGAGAAGTTAGTGATACAGCAGTAGCTGAATAATTACACCAGTCAGCTTCCATGTGGAGACAAAACCATCACGTGCAGCTAACGATCAATTCTTCTCTTAAAATTTTTAACTTAAAAAGGTTGCTAACACTGAAAGTTTTATAAGGAAATAAACATCACAAGTCAAAATGGGAAATTTTCAGTTATGGGGGTAAATAAACGGTACTGCAGAAAGGGGATGAATGCACCTGTACCTGTTTTTGTGTATGCCTTAGTTGTCTAAACTGGCTGGTCCTTTTTGTTTGCTTTTCTTTTTGTTTATGATTTTTTTCATTGCTGTGTAAACTAAAGTCAGTTGCCAAGTCCTTGACTTTTAAGTTCATTATGAATGTTATGAACAAAAAAAATGTCGGCTGTCTCCTCTTTAAAGGGCTGAGGCCTAAGGTATTGGGATATTGCTACTCGTTGTTTGAGAGGCATGGGGAAAAGGGAAAACTTGCTGTGTGTTGAGATGGTGTTAAATACTGTGCTAAAACAAAACCAGGTTGAACTCTGGACTCCTCCTGTCAGATCTCTGCACCCTTTATCTGTTGTAATAACATGTTGCGGTATGAACATGGCCTTTCACAAGAGGAATGGCATGCCGGTATGGGGTAAACCATGGTGCTTGTTGTGGTATTGATAGCAACAAACGCCTTGAAATGGATTGGGGTGGTTTTTTTGTCACTTGTCTTGCTGGAATTAGCTCTTGGGTCATATTGGAAAACTCCTTGACCTTGAAGCAGCCCAAATAAAAAGGTCTCAGTGTTAGCCATAAAAGGATGAAAACCCATTCTGTACCTGATGACAAGGAGAATCATGGTATGGTCACATACACCCATGTGCATAAGCAAACGTACGTCAGCTTTAATGTGATCGTCATCAAGATGAGTGGTACTTGCCCCCTGAAGTAGAATGTGTGCCATCTCAGACAGATTGTAATAGGTCAAGCGGTGACTTGTCCAGTGTTGGATGGGGAGCCTGTCAGTTGGGTTGCACTCCAAAATGGCCCAACTCATTCTTTAATCTGACTATATGCAGCATGACCTGTACCTCACGTGTTGTTTTGAAAATGCTTGTGAATTGAATCAGATGTGAGAACCAAGTGCAACTTTTTTTTAAGTTTTTTGGGTTTGTTTTTTTTTCTTTGACTATCCCATCTTTAAATAATGCTTTTATTTCAGAGCAAATAAAAAATATTGTGATTTAATCAGCCATTTCAGTAGGCTATTTCTGCCTTCTTGTAGTCAGAAATATTAGTTTCTGCTGTACAGTTGATACTGTGAAAATATAAGAGAACATTTGTGGTAGGTTCCTGTTCTGTTATGCAAATTCACTTTCTTTAAAGTCAGAGAGACTAGTTGGTTATCTTTACTACAGAAAAACAAACCCTCCGATTCTTTTGCTTTAGTGGAAGTTAGAAGATGCGATATTCCAGGCTTGTCCTATCATAGTGCATGTAGTTAGATGATCACAGTAGGTAACAGTCCCACAGGAAAACTTTACTAGTTGATTTGCCAACCAGGTATCTAAATCAGTGTATTTTCTAATCCTTGGGGTTAAGTGCATGTTCTTACATGTATGAACCTACAGCTGTTAAATTCTACCTAAGCTTTTTTTTATCTGGACCTAAAGTCAATTCTCTTTATGAAATTCTTATGCATGTTTCAGTTTGCATTTCTGAAATATCATGAATATTCTAAGAGCAATGTTGTTCCTTCACCACTGATAGGGAAATGGGGCACAGAAGTAAATGGGTGAGTTGTTGGAATGATCCCTTCATCTTGGATTCTCAGGTTAAGATGTCTGACCTGATTTTTTTATTCACCCTAATAAGCACCTGCTGCACTGTTGAGTGGTACATTTCTTGTTATTACTTCTCCAAATTTGTCTTACTGCTTCTGTGATGTGTACATAGAAACTGAGAAACCTGCAGTAGTAACCAGTTCTCTAAAATGTTGTTGGAGCAACTTGTATGTGATCAAACACTAATTAAGTGACGAAGCTGAGGGTCCTGCAGATGATAGCTCTGGTTGCTGTGGCTCTGAATGATCCTGCTGTCACTCTTTGATCTGTGGGATCTGCAAAGAGTAGCAGGTGAGTTTATGTTCATGTTGCAGCAGTATGAAGTATACTCAAGTGCTGTTCAGCTCTACTTCATGTCCCTTTACATGTTTTGATACTTCAGCTCTGTATCAGTCTGTGTCGATTCAACATGCCATTTGTCATACAGTGTTTTTTCTGCTACTGTTGTCTTCATGTTGAAAATACTGGGCAGGAAAGAAGCTCCAATGACATTGTGGGGATGTGTATCTTCCCAGCAACTTGTTCAGTCTCTGGAGTTGGAACCTCTTGGTGTGTAGCAGAGGCACTCTTCAATTTATCCTAGAACACAACTAACAGGGCACACTCTGTTAGCAGTGGGGTGTAGAAATGGGGGAGGTTCTGTATTTTATTTCACGCTCTGGAGGTGATTGTAGATTAGAAGGGAAGAGGGGGTTGGTACCAGATCCAGATGTCTTGGCTGTGACCCATCCCCACTCCCATTCAGTTCCACTTCTCTCTCCAGTCTTTTACTTGAATTCCCCCTGCATTTCATGCTGACTGCTTCCTCCTTTTCCCCTGTGCTACAGGAGGACTAAGGACAGCAGTTAGAGCTCTGAAAAGGTAGTTTCTCTTTCCACTCTTCCCGTTAGATCAGTCCTAGACAACTCAGTAACTACTGGAAAACAGGCTAGGCAACAGCAGAAGGTAAACTTCTTGGCATCTGTGTCACTGAGGTACCCCTGACTTTGACAAACTCCTACCTAGCGTGCCAGTAGAGTCCTCAGGTGGGCTTCTACCTTCAGCATCCTTTGCAGGGACAGGTAAAACGACTGCTATGCAGAGATGTGCTTAACATTCAACCAAGGCAAACAGAATTAAGGTGCCAGAGCATCTTAAAAGATTGCAGGACTCTTCTAATATAATAGAAGAGGATGTTTTGTCACTTACCAATTTTAGAAATTGTACCACTTGTACTAAATTTGTAACTATTGAGAATTTTAAACATCGATGTATTTAAAACAATAGAAAGCTGCTTAGTTGACCTACCCCAAAGTATCTGTTGACCAGACTGAATTAAAGGATCTACATCTTTCATAGAAAAATTAAGCAGAAGACATCACAAATTTTTATCTGCACATGATACACTTAGATATAATACAGTGTAGCAATGTTGTGTGGCACTGAAGGAAAAACATGCTTGAGTTATGCTGCTATGCCATGTTGCAGTAAATGGTGTTTACAGGGCTATTAAATACATGCAACAAATGTTTGTCCATGTTTTATTTTAAAGTTACACTTCAAAATAGCTTAGAGCTAATTATACAATTTTAGCTGTGACTGTTTTTTAGAGTTAAGGAGATTAAAAGCTCATTGACCAAGGATTTATAGATATAAAATGTTTCTGGTTGTTTTATACAAGTCTGCAAAAATCTGAACTATTTATTAGCAATTGATGACAATGTATATACATTTTCCTCTTGGGTCACACTGAAATACAGTTGGACTTAGTGAATGGGCAACCTAAGAATTCTTAGGTTTTCACTGAATTGTCAATTAAAAAACATTTGTAATGCTC